TTAATGCAAAGGGATTAATCGATTAGAAGGCTCTGAGAGGACTAATCGATTAAATCAAGAGGAATAATCGATTAATGGAATGCAAACGACAGTTAATCGATTAAACAGAGAAATATAATCGATTACCAAAAGAAATAATGGGCAAAACACAAAGGGCCCAAGCCAGTTGCGATGGAGAGCAAATTGGCATAACATTCGTTGTTTGAGACAACAGGAATCAGAGAACGCTCCTCCTCTTATTCAATGAATTTGAATAAGGGAGTAAAAGTGAGTCCAAAAATTATTTTGTGTGTCAAACGATGTACACGAAAAATATTTGAATAAAATATTTTTGCTTACCAAAAATATTTTATAATATCAAAATAAACATTTGATAAATGTTTGACACACTTTTTGTAACTGACTCAATAAAACTATTTTGAACAGTTAAAAAGATTTTTCAACTGAATCAAAAAATAAATATAATTTTTATTTTAACTCTCATAAAAACAATTTTGGAGAGAAGATATTTTTGTCATCCTTACAAAAATTCCTACGACTCAAATAAATAAAAGTCTTCGGAAATCTTCTACTCCACCGAGTCCTCCGTTAGGCGCTCCGAATGCGTCTCGGACTTCAATAAAATCCTGTGCACCTTCTTGAATACTTCAAGGAATGGCACTTCAAGTCTTCGTGTTTGTCGTTGTAGCACTTTGATCTTGACTTGAATAAATTGTGTTTGTCAATTATCAAAACCTGTGAGTCAACACTTAACAACACAGAAAGGGTTGAACTCATGCATTCCAACAAAGCACACGCTCTTCCTCGCGCGGTGAAGATAGTCCTCTACGAGAGCAGGTCGTGATCGAGGTGGAGGACCAGGATGATGCGGCTTTGGAAACGGGGACGATGGTGATCAGCTCCCCGCCGTGTTCCCCGATGCTGGGTGGCGACCTAGCTGGGTCGTCCCAGAGGGCCTTCTCGGAGCGACCTCACTCCCCACCAGTAGTGACCTACGAGGTGGCGACCGAGGGTCGCTCGACGAGGTTCAGCATTCCTCTCCCCTCCCCAAGACTAGGAGATGTGCAACTAGAGACCCCAGTCACCTTGGCATCTCAGGATCGAGCTCGCATCTCGGCCGGTTCTGAAGATGACCTCAACAACATGGTTCTTTTGAAGCTTAGCCAGGTATTTGCCTTAACTCCCTTCTCGCCACCCCTCCGCCTTACATCTCTGACTCTTTAAGTTTTGGTTCCAGCTACACTGGGATGATCGAGCTCGTCGGTCGGAGGCAAGACCGCCAAGCGGATATGGATGAGGCGAGGAGGGCTGTAGAAGATAAGCAGAGGGAGCTGCAGGAGGAGGTCGCTCGCCTCGCAAGGGAGTTGGAGGAGGAGAAATTGTTAGTCGTTTTAGTCGTTGTGCCCATGCCTTAGAGGGGGGTGAATAAGGCGTTTGAAAACTTTTCGGAGTTTAATAAAAACGGTGTTGGCAAATGCGGAAGCAATATATAAAACGCAAAAATAAAAGCGTAAATAAAATGCACACCGATTTTATACTAGTTCGGGAACTCCCTACTCCAGTACCTCGAGGCTCCTTCTCAAGGATTTCCGAATCCACTGAGTCCCGGCCTCTTGAACTCCGTCAAAGCACCGCACTAGTTTTGGCAAACAACCCTTGCCAATAGGATTCACTCCGAGATTTCACAATGACTATCTCGAACCGTTTACAACAAAGATTTAACGGCTATATTCTACCGTTCCCCCAAGGATTTCAAAGGCTAACCTTGAACCCAAGGATTTATACAGCTATCCTCAACCGTTACAAGTTGAGATTTTAACGGCTATTCTCGACCGTAAGAATGTGTGTTTGATGAACACAATCAACGATTCTACACAACGGCTAGAATATTAAAATGAAAAACAAAACTTAGCCAGTGTAGAAGGAAAGTATACTCTATCAAAAATACAATTCAAACTTATGAATATGAGAGTATATATAACTAGAAACACAAACTCAAAGTGTGTGTGTATAAAAATTAGGAATTTAAGGCTTTTAAAATAGCCAAAATATTGGAAATAATTAATAAAAGGATGAACACACTTAGAATAAAAAGAGAGAATGTTTAGAGCTTTGTTTCTTAAAGAAATATGAAGGATTAGGCTTGTATTTATAGTGGAAGATGTTAATTAGCCGTTGGGAGGTGATTAGGGTTGATTTAATTCAAAATCACAAATCAGGAACAGTAACCCAACGGTCACGGTAGGCCGGTACCGTCCACACGGTAGCATGGTACCGTGCGTACGGTAGGGGGGTACCGTGAGTGGCGGTACCTCGGTACCGTGTCCCACTAAAAATCCATTCGGCTCTGGCGGTACCTGGTTAGGACGGGTTGGTCAAACCGTCTCCGCCTACCGTCGGTACCCAGGTACCGTTACACGGTATGAGGGTACTGTGTAGGCGGTATACCCTACCGTTTGGGGTACCCCTAGGGGTACCGTGCCACTGTCCTGAGTTTTCCAAAATTTCCGGTAATCCTTCTTCTTTGAGTTTAAAACCTTTTGGATATTTGAAAATGTTTATGGGATAGTTTTAAACATATTTTGCGAGTGCTTTTGAGCTTGTGAATATAGGTACATAAAGTCATATCCTTACATTGGTTTCTACCTATATTGTACGCTAGTTTAGTGTTTCGACTTCATTCTTGAGTACCCAATCTTAATGGATTCTTGTTTTACCTGAAACACTTAAACAAACGTTAAGCTCTTATATTGTTTGTTAACATCAAAACATGAGGCTTAGCAAACCAAGGCTACCAATCTCCCCCTTTTTGATGTTGACAAACAATATACTTCAAAGTGAGTTAGGCGGGAGTAAAATAATGAAGCAAGCAAGCTCCTCCTAAGAATAAGCATATTGAAAATACTCTGTAACACCCTAATCCGTCCAGGTCTGCAGCCCCATTCGGACTAAAGTATTTAACTTGGTAATCGTAAAATTTAAAACTTTTCAAACACACTTTATTAATCTCAATAATATTTTTCATAACATATACAGTACGGAGTATTTAACAATATTGCGGAAGTGAATTTAATATTGACATATCATAAATCATTTCAAAACTTGTCACATCCATCCCGACAATCTCGCCCCATCTGCCGCCAGGATCACATTAATCTTTCTGTTTACCTGCGTGTAGCAAATAAAACATACTACACGCTCAGCGTTGAAGCTGAGTAAGCATATCTAATGCATCGAACATCCATATAAATTGAATCTCAATTCATAATTAACCATTTGATATCATTCTCACAATACATATTTCAAGCATACATTATTCATGATATTCACAATATTTTATTTCAAGTCATTTCATGATATATTCAATATTAAATATTTCATCAGTGCTCTTAAATTATTCTTAATCTAAGGCCAAATCATTTTTAGACAAGCTCTTAGCTATCCCTAGTCTTAGGCAATATTTCTAACCAGGCCCTTAAACTATAAATAGTTTAATGCAGAACACAAGAATCGATAATCCACCATATTAGTCATGTGGATTACGTACCAACCGAACAGTGAACTGTCGGGTGGGTGATATCCGTTCTGGATCCCGTACGTACGTTTTAACCCCGAAATATGAATTGGTCAAGGAGGTATATCTTAGAGTTCTTCTAGATATCCTTAATAATCATCATCAATTTTCCAAATGGGTATATCTTAGAGTTCTTCTAGATATCCTTAACAATATACATCATTTTCATAATCATCAATATATTCATTTTTTTTAATCATAATTTAATCATTCGTAATTATTATTTTAATAATAATATTCATCAAAGTCTAATCATAAACAACATCAATAATAATCATCACAATATCTAATAACAAATAGCGGCCTAGCATCGAGTGTTAACACCTTAGCTTACCGTCATACATCACATAAAATTTTATTTGTCAAAACATCATTTTTATTTT